AAAAAAAAAAAAAAAAAAAAAAAAAAAAAAAAAAAAAAAAAAAAAAAAAATACAAAAATACCAAAATACCAAAGAAGTTGAAAAATCTAACAAGACTGACGTTTTCACATCAATTAAATTTTGTTTTAGTTTCATTTCTGACGACAGTTTTGTCAATATTTTTTTTTTAGGTAAATGAGTAACTTTGCATTTTTTTAAAGAAAAAACGAGGTAGGAGAGGAAAAGTTGTTTTCTTACACTATGTACATACCATATCTCTGTGCACGGGGTTCGGAATCAATTGCTCGGAATGAATGATACAGCATAGTTTTGTCAAGCATCCACATCATGTGTTCAAAGACTCATACCGATATTGTATATTTATTTCATTAATGCAGGTATGTATTTACGTTTCAATTGACTTGACTGACTGTATTGCTAAATTTTTAGAATAAATTTTTGCGAACGTGGAAAGTTGATCGGTAACTAACTACAAAAATATTTATAAATATGTAAAAAAAAAAAAAAAAACTAAAATTCATTACATGGAGAAAAGGTTGCGGATAATTTTTGTTATAAATCGCCAGTCAAGCCAACAGTTTGAAACGCAGGTACCAGAGTAGTTACTACATGTATCGAAGGTACGTTATTGGCACGCATACGGCATCGAAATGATCGATCAGCCGGAAAAGAACTCGAGTAAGTGTATATGCATATGATTTCTGGAGACTTTGTATTTTCATTTGCGTACAGTTATTTACGTTAAGGCGCTCAATGACGCGATAAATTTTGCATTGGCGTTCAACTCGCCACTTACTCAAGTACATTAATTATTTATTTTTACTATTTCGCTTGTCGTAACACAGTTTCCTATATAATATTGCAGTAACGGTACTACACCTTAAGGTAATAATTAACGCCACTGGGTTATATTTAAATTACGTTTTGTAGGCCTTTGATTGTTGGATTTTTTTTTTTTCTTTTTACTCTCCCGTGCACCGGTTCGTACAAAAGCGATTGCGTGATTTTGTTTCACCAGTAACATTTCTAATCAAAATTTAAAATGCGTTATTGTTTTTTTTTTTTTTTCATCCAGTGCACGTATCATTTTCATCTATGGTTTAATGCTTCATCCAAACGGTTTCATTCGTAAGCGTTTTTTAAATTTATTTTTGTTGTCTCTCGTGGCGGGTAAATGTATATTGTCAACAATCACTGCTCGTTTTGGGGAGCAAGTGAGATGCGCGGCAGGGAGGCAATTTTCTTGTAACAAAATCTCCGCAATTTATACCGATACTACTTTTTAAACGTGTGCGTGTGTGCGTGCTTATACCTTGTTATTATATGCAAAATCAGAGATAATTTAAAATTATACTGTTTTTTTTTTTCAATTTATTATTATTTGAAAATTTTAATTATTAATAACGAGCAAAAAGGGAAGACAATAAAAATAGTCGTTGCAGCTAGACGCATTTAAAAAATTTTTGAATCCGTCGGGTGTTTTTTTACCGCTCTTACGTATTTCCTTGATGTGATACGATGTTTTTATGTGAAAAAACCAAAAACTTGGCTAACTTCTACACTTCTTTTAATCAAGAAAAAAATCATCAATTCGACTGATTATCGAATTAGAAATGAATAAACGTCGGCAGTCGATTCGAGCCCTTAGCCGATATTCACGCGTATGAATAACAATAAAAATAATGGAAAAATCTTTTGACAACAATTATGAACGTTTCATACTGAAATTTGTTTTCTTCTATTACCCATGTTATGGGTGCATACACCTTACACGAAGATGCAATAAATTATTTTTTAATTTTTCAATAACTTAAAAACATAACTACGCGATCATTACGCGATGTGTTTTACATATCTGAACCTGATTTTATTATAATGTACAAGTCGTTAAAATCTTTTTCCTGTTCACTTGTTACGCTTCTCCGATCTTCGATTTATAACATTGAAATGATTGTACAGTTTCTGATTTTTTCGTCCTTGGATTGTTTCCATTTGTTTAGGAGTTTTCTTTTTAAAATGGATTAATGGGTCACTTACGTTTAATTGTTCATTTATTTTGCAGTGCAATTTTCAGGATGGTTTTTTCGTATGACACTAATGATTTGAATTACATCGTAAAGAGCTATGTACGAGTTTTTTAAAAATTTTTTTATTTATTTTTTTTTTAAAAAGAGTACCAACGATTGCTATATAATTTACTTTAACGATTTAAAAGTATGAATTTACTTTAAATTTTAGTTGCAGCGGATCGATATAAACAGTAAATTTTGAAAGTAGTACTTACGCGTGAAATTTAATGTCTTCTTTACTTTTTGAAGCTTCCAGTAAAACAAAAAATGACACTAAGTAGCAAAAAATATTGTGTCTCTAAAATTCAGGAAATTTATATTAAAAGTTCGAAGCTACATTTACGAAAGTATCTATACCCTATATTAGTACGTCACACTTTTTTCATTTTCGCGCCTTTGTTTTCGACAATTCACATACTGTTGCATTCATTGAACTCGTCAAACATGGTCATTACGTTATTCGATAATTGACTTGATTAATTCAGTTTATTTACTATTATGGTCTTAGATACTCTATATACATAAAATTGTAACGCGTGTCCTGTAATTTCATCTAAGGTGACACTTTACAAAAGGTCTCGCCAGCGCTATTCGTCGCTTTTACTATATGTTTATGCTTGTTATTTTTAGCTACGTTAATTTCTGTGTCGCCTGAAGATTGTCGAGCGGAGCCGATTTTATTACCTTTAATACAAGAAAAGAACCTTATAGAAGGTTTTTAGAGGTTGAGGATCAATGGATATTCTCATTTATTATTTATGAATCTTAATCATAACATGAAAATTTTTTGTTATTATTATTGTGTTTCGTAGTGTTTCGTAAGGGAGCAATTCGATATTAGCAATAGCAAAAATTTTTTTGTTAAAAAATAATTCGAAACGATCAGAAGCAACTTGTACGGACGCGCAACTTAACAATTTTATTATTGAGGCAGTACATATTATATTGTTGTCAGTTTCAACTATTTCCAACCGCATTACTCGCTCCAGTTGATTGTTTTCTAAAAAACTTTTCTTCTAGGATATTTTTATCTTCCACACTTTGGTTTGTCGTTGGATTTTAAATTGCGAATCTTTTCAAGTGGAGAAGTCTCTCGTGCATTCGTTTATGTACATGTAAAAAGTTTTTTTTCGTCGTGTTCTTTTTCAAGCGCGCAAAACTTCGTTGGGTATAATTTTTATTATTAAAACATATGTGCCACGTATTTCTTAGTGTAAAAATTAATTGTACCTTAATTATATACAATTGTTTTTTACGGTAACTATCATTTCTTTTTTACATTTATACAGAAGTAGCGATAATGAACTACGTCTGGTATTTAGAATTACCGTTTACAGTTTTAGTCTCTACAATTTTTATTTTACGTAACAATTTTTATTATTATTATTTTTTTTTTTCGTTTAGGTACTAAAATATAAAATTTGAAAGATAAAACAAAGAAATAGAGAAGACCGGGACAAAGTGAATCGTCAACCTAATAGCAACAAATAAATTATCCTCAATTCAATATAGTCTCTACGTTATTTGTGAAACATTCACGTGATAATTCATTTACCGCGATCTCGTCCATATCACAACGATCGTTTAAAATTTTTGTTAATATACACGCTACGAAAACCTATGAGTTACGCGTTAATTTATTTACACGTATACGTACTATTTACAAGAAAATTTTCGTCATTCCGCTTTAATAAAAATCATGCATCGAAATTAACTATACCAACTAGTTGGAAACTGCACGTATAGAAGCTCGATTTGTTCAGCCGCGATGATTGACATGTTATCTACTAATCGTTAATTTTTCACGACACGCTGATGCCGTCGAAAAGCTTCTTTGTAACATGTATTTAAGGAAATGAAAAGACACCGCTAGTGCATTTTTTTCACTAGCGCCATCGATCCAAATCAACATATACACGAAATAAAATCTTAGATACAGTCGGAAATGATTTCCTCCTGTGATTGAAAACTTTTTTACACGCTCATGTAGAGCCAAAATTATTTCCAACCGCAAGAGCGCAACGCCAGTCACTTACACAGAGCTAATATTAAAAAAAAAAAAAAAAATGAGGTTCAACAAAAAAAATTGTTAGCTCGAATTGTGCGTAAAACGAGGGCAGGAAAAAAAGAGCAGCGTGTTACAATAAAAAAAAAAAAAAAAAAAAAAAAAAAAACTGGTATAAAATCGTAGCAATGTTTACCAAAATTACTAAATAGTTTTCATGATTATTTATTCGTCATTAATTATCCGCACAGCCAACGTTTAATATTGAACCCGCATTTCATTAAAAACGCGACAAGCATCACGTTCCCTCCGCAATTTAAACGCACGTACGTATACCTATACGGATCCAACGATAATTAAAAATTTTCCTACGACACGTACACCTATAGAGAAAAGTATCAAACTCTCGATCCAACATTGGGATACCCTATCGCATAAATTTACACGAGTACGGAGTTCGGAGAGCTGTATATTATTATAATGCAGTCCTATATGTATATATATGCACGTCCCTTGCGAGCAGCTGCACGTCGAACTATATCCAGCGAAGAAGGGGGAAGTAGTTTGCAACTCGCGTTCATCTAGCCATCCTCTCGGCGTCCTCGAGCTCCTCCTTGAGGCTCTTGCCCTGGGGTGGTCCCTCCTCCTCTTCCTCGAGCGCTTGCTCGCGGTACTCCTCGCTCTCGCGGTGCACGAGGACGTGCACGACCGTGGCCTCGGATTGTTGCCTGAGCAGGGGTGGTCGGCCCCCGGGAGAGGTGCCCTCGGGGCTGGGCTCCGTCACGAGGATGCTCACAGCGTCGAGCTGGGCGTCGGTGGGTCGGAGGTGGGGCGGCTGGGGCGCGGGACGGCGTCTCAGGCTGCTGCAGCGGCGGGTGAAGGCTTCCTTGAGGTCGCGCTGCAGGACGTTCAGGGACAGGGCGGTGCCGCTTGGCCGGAGCGAGTGGCGCTTTTGCTGGTGTTGTTGGGGCGGGGGCGGCGCAGGCGGTGTCGCCACGTCCTCGTCAGTTTCCACAGCGTCTTGCCGACCGAGTGTCGCGCCGGACGATCTGTTGCTGTTGTTGTGCCGGTTGGGGGGATGCATCATGCGAACAACAAACGAGCGATGGATTAGTTTTGGCGTCTATCGGTAGGTATATACCGATGATGGCTGATGGTGAAAAATAAAGTTTTTTTTGTTTCTGTTTTATCAAAGCAAGCCAGTGTGCACAAAGTTTTAAAACAAGCCGATAAATCATGGAGTTGTGAACAAAGAGTGCTTTGTGGAGTTAGACGTAGCTTTACGAGCAGTTTGGCAAAAAATTTTCAGTCAGGACTCCCTCAAAATATATCATACTTTTTAGGATTGCGGGAAAACTTGTAAACATAAAAGCAGATGTGTTTTTTAAGAATATTTTAGGTACGAGATATTTTTGTTAATTTTACTCTCACCACTACCACTGTAACTTTGAATATTAGAAAAATTGCAAAAAATCGAATTTTACCAGATTTTGCAAATTCTTTTTCTCAAAAGCTTTTTGAAACACATGTTCATTTGAATTGGATAATATCTTTATGAATATTTTAATGTTTAACATGTCAATTATTTATAATTTTAAAGAAAGTTTTTTGCTTGTTTGTTTCAGTTAAACTCATAAAATAATTGACTTCATTAATGCTATCAGCCGAGCGAGTATAATAAAATGTAGTCATAGAAGAATTTGATGATCAACTGAACCAATGCTTCAATAACTCAGGGAAAACTCAGGTTGTCAATCTCAAATATTCGTTTGACGGTACGTACCAGCATTTCTCAAATACCATAGCAATAAATATTTATCGAGATCAAAAAGTTTCTTGTCTATAAGTACAATCTAACTATGTGTTCGCGCGGTGGGTGATCGAACATTTTTTTTAATTTTGGGAGTCTGTTACTGGATTTTTTGTGTAGTTGCTCATATAAATTCGAAAGAAAAATTATCCACTACACTGTTACAAAAATTAATTTTTGTATGCCTTGGGGACTGTCTTTTTTACACAACTGCATTCGCAGTTGGCACATTAAGTAATAAATGAGAAATATGATGGTCAAAGATCTTATAACATGACTTGACAAATCTTTTGTGCCATCTCAAAATGATTGAATATTTAAAAAATTAAGAAAAATGTCGACTAGTTACTTTTGGTTATTGAAATGGATTTTATTCAGAAATTAAAAGCATAAAACAAAGTGCTTAAGAATTATATTTCAAATAAACCAACTATATTGAAGTGGAAGACCAAATCTTGACAAATTTCATTCAAATTCTGTGACTTTTACTCTCAAACTAATTCATATTAACTCAACAAATTTTATATCACCATTTAACATAAGCCACTGGAAAGAGTTATAAATAATTTCACATAAAATCACGAAAAAATCGGACCAGTGCCTAAGGCGTACAAAAACTAAATTCTAATTTTCTTATTGTAGCGTATAACGAGTGATTATTCGGCAAAGTTGCTTTAAACTCTTATAAAAAAAATTAGCCGTATGCAGGTATGAATAAAATAATTAACCATGTTAATGCCAAGGTAGAAGTAAAGTCTATACTCTTAAGCGATAATTGTGAAGGTGCGGAGGTAGGTATAGGTTACTACTGCGGTAGGCAGGTCCTGGGACGAAGCGTCGGGTGACAAGTAGTTGCGGGCGGGCTACGCATAATAATTTCCTAGAAAAGCCGGGGTCCAGGGATCGCTTAATTAAACTATATGGGAAAACTTTTCTTGTCTTCTAAGGTCACTATGTTTAATACGTATATAATGAAGTGGCTTAGCTCGCTATATTTTGTTAGGGAGAAGAAGAAGCAGCAGTTAATTTCTCGTGATATACCGAAAATTAACTTGGATCAAGTGTATAATTTCGTACATGATATAAGTACTTGATGAGAGTGACTTAACGCTTAAAATGTACTTAGTACTCGAGAGAAGCTACTGCTAATAGTATGATGTATCGGGGCTATAAATATTATATATTAAAATCTCTTTCTCTCTAAATCAGTAAGATAAAATAAAACACCTGGTACGGATGTCTCCTCGTTTTTACCTATCATAGGGCTTAGATTGTCAGTCTTCTTTGGAGTCTGTTTGGTTCGGTTGTTGTAAAAGTAAAAGGAACACAGTTACCATTTCATTTAACATTGATATTATTTTGATGGAGTATAATAATGCTTATTGATGCCTGAAATGAGCATGTGACGTATAGGTGTTCTCTATGAAAATGTGATGATCTATACTTTTTTTTAAATTTTGTCGTTCTCGACAAAAGTCATCGTTGGAAGCGCGAAAAAATATGCGTCAACGCACGGCTGTGCCAATAATATACAAGAAAAGTACGCCGTGCGCGACAATGAGAAATGAACTGGATATAGGATACATTGTATGTGTAATCATATCGAGAGGAGGATGAGGTAGTAGCGACTGTGAGGAGATGTATGGACCGTACATGATGATGTAAAATAATGTGTGTACCGACCTGACGGTGACGTGGGAGTCGGAGCCAGAGCTGGAGGCGGCCGAAGGGTGTTCGGCCGTCGGCGAGGGACGGGAGACGGTGAGGGCGGGAGGCTGCAGGTCCTCGTGGGCTCCCGTGGCGCCGGAGAGCATCAGAAGCGGAAAATTCTGGAAGAAGAGTGCCGATGCGGTACCCAATTCACTGGCGTCACTGGCGTCACTGGCCCTCGAGGACTTGCGACTGCTGGCCCTGCTACCCCTGTGCACGTGCAGTAGGGCCGACAGTTTGCCGCCCCATCCACTACCGCCCCTACCGTCGCTGCCCACACCGCCGGGACTCGACGTTTGCGTCTGCGAGTCCACCTCCTGGGCTATGCGCTCCCGTTCACGCTTGTTCCTGCAAAACGAATCATTTATGTTTTTTTTTTTTTTTTTTTTTCTGGACAATCGGAATCAAACTCTGCCGAGTCCATGAACCCCTATGTATAGATATAAGGGCAACATTTTTATGATTGCCTGTGCTCGAAGGTTAAATTTATCACAGCGAATCATTTTAATTATTATCTTAAATCGAGGTAAATTTCACAAGATTTTGAAATTTTATTTATCATCCTGTAAATTGTAGGGTTTTCAGATCAAAGTGTCTTAAAATTCAACTTATGAGATTCCAAGCGCTTAATGTCACGAATTTGAAATGATTTCATTAAATTCATTAACAGCCTTTAATTAACAACCTTAGCGTTTTTTCGTTTAAAAAATTATAAATGCTTTATCGCCAAAGTGTTTGATATTGGACTCAAATAAGTATTAAAAAAAAAAAATGGAAGCAAGCGTGAAATTTTTTTTTCAGCATGCCTTTTATCATGACGTATTAGTTTTTTTATCTACCGAACAAAAGTTAAAGACGTGATTTGACACTTTTCTTGTATCGAAAACAATTTTTTCGAGCGATTTCGTATAGTTCGCGGGCTCCCGCATATCAGCGTTTTGTTTTCGTTGTCAAACGTTGTTTCTGCTCATATACGACATTCAGTGTCTTCTGCTAAACTTCACAGTTGAGTCAAAATTTCAGTGGTGCGGAAAATATGGGCTCCAAAGCCTTACTGATACGAAATGTGAATCGTATTATCAATAACTCTTCGCAGTGGTAATTACACTTACACATTCGTATACTTATAACAATTTTAATAAACAAACTGTCAAAAGTGTAAACCCTATTTACCTAAACATAACCTCTTGATTTTATGTAATCCTTATTGTAGTCAATATGTGTATTTTTTGTAATATTTACAATTCACCGTTGGTTCTGTTATTTTCAATAGCAAGTATCTTTCTTCCACCTCAACTCTGAGTAGAGCTTCGAAATCAAAAGACGAAAAGTCCGTGGAGGTTTACAAACCTTTGCGTGAAAGTTTGCACGATGTGATGAGAGGTAGAGAACAGATTCAACATGACAAGGATTTGAATAACTACATCACCATCGAAAGTGAATTAGATGCTGTTGGTATATGTTCTGGTGTACCAGAGGAGCACATCAAGACGAGAACTGTTCGCATCTACATGCCATCAAAAAATGCCATGCAGTCTGGAATAGACAACACTCATCACTGGCAAATTTGTTTTGATACCAGAGAGCGCTGGGAAAATCCACTCATGGGATGGTGTTCTTCGTAAGTTACATACATATACCTTATGGAATTTCGTTTCTGTTACTGTGTTTCATCACATAACTTGTTTTTTTTTTTTTTTTTTTTTTTTTTAATTTTTAAATCCTACAATAATAATAAGAAAACCATGACAATGATTTATTTTTCAGGGGAGATCCCTTACAAGCAACAAGAGTAAACTTTCCTACACAGGAGGATGCTATAAGACATTGTGAAAACATGGGATGGAATTATTTTGTTCAGCAACCCAATGAAAACAATCCAAAACCACGTACCTATGGAGCTAATTTCTCATGGGACAAGCGTACAAGAGTATCAACAAAGTAATGTTTGTCTATAGTTAGATAAACGTGTGTAATTAGGATTGAAAGTAATGATTCCGATCAATTTAAAAGTGTTATCGTAGCAAAAGATAAGAAGTTGCGCAAATAAAATAAATATGAATTAATATTTTTGATTCAGGTCAATCTTTTCATTCAAAATCTAATTTAAGCTATCGGAAGTTTCCTCGAATAAAAAAAAAGCTGTATTGGAAGTAATGGTAGCTATAAAAAATATATGTAAACCTTTGCAATAGATATAATTTACTTAAAATAGTTTTATAATGAATTTATTTAATGTAATAAAATTCGTTTCATTTTTTTTTTAAATGAATGACATTAAATGTAATCTACAAAGTCCTGATTAACACGTAGCAGTCTTAGCTCTGTTTGATGATTATTTTTTATTGTTTTTTAAATATCGTAGAGTTCAAAATCATTTGTATAAAAAATCTCAAAGCAAGTTACTTTTCCATGTATTATATAACGAATAAAAAGTGTACTAGCTCTGAACTTATAAGCTAATTAGATTTAAAAATTTTCAATTTTGACTCTTGATTATTTATTTTACATTACGTTATTTGAAATTTATTAAATAACAAAATCGATGACTGTCACAACATTCCACATGTTTTAAATATGTTTTATTACGAAAGTATTCAAAATATGATCCTCAAAAAAATGTTTGTACCAACGAGTAGGTCAGGGAGGTTTTCTCCACAAGTTTTTTTAAGTTTTTTTTTTTTTTTTAAGCAGACCTGTTCGTAAGTTTTTGTGATTAAAAAAGAAAAACATGCATCATTCGTAACGAACCTAGTTTTTGACACCAGCAGTTCTTATGAATGGCATATATTAATTTAGCTATTGACAATACTTTTTGTCTCTACATTATTATGTCATTCCTTCTTTTTTTCTTTCTTCTTCTTTTACTGCATAATGATCACCAAGAGAGTAGTGCGCGATAAATAGCCACTGTAACTATATAAAATACAAAAAAATTGGTCAAGGAAAATAAATACACACACCTGTTATCGATAAACTCCACTTTTTTATTGTTTAGGAATAATTGTATAATACTTTGTATGATTTTAATAATATTATTCGCATTATTAGTAAAACAAGCGAAAAGTACTAGTTATAATTCATAGAGTCTACCTCATCTTTCTCACTGTTTATTGTTTTTTTTTCTCGTTTTTTTTTTTTTTTTTTTATACATATTGGAATATGCGTGTTAAGACCTATTATTTAAAATTGAAATTTTTTTTTTTTTTAGTATATATATATTTATGAATATTAACATGGACAAGTCTTTCAGAGTGTACGTGTGAATGTGCATGTGCGTATCACTGAATANCGCCGGGACTCGACGTTTGCGTCTGCGAGTCCACCTCCTGGGCTATGCGCTCCCGTTCACGCTTGTTCCTGCAAAACGAATCATTTATGTTTTTTTTTTTTTTTTTTTTTTCCATCGTTGACCATCGCTTCATTAATGGTCGTCCGTACGTTATGAACTCGCGGAACGATCGCTGGATGAGCCTGGCCGCCTTGTCCTGGCGCTTCCATATCCTCGTGGAAGACACGATCTCGAGCTCCTTGCGCGTCGGGAACTGCTTCTTAAACTTGACGTCCATCTGCTCCTGGAGCTTTTTAAAGTCCTCGGACTCCTCGACGTGGCCGAGCACGTGTTTCACCAGGGCGTGCAGTATGTCCAGGCAGTGTATCTTGTTGCCCCTCGCTATGGGAAGATTAAAGCTGACCAACGCGACCACGTTGGGCTTTGATATTCCCAGCGGCGGGTCAAGGCTCGCTATAAAGTCGCTCAGCTGCGAGAACCGTATGAACTGCGTCGCGTGTGGATCGTACCTTTCGAACCAAACAATGATTTTCATCAACATCATTTACTACACCACATTTCAATCAAAACAGCTTACTTTGACCAGCGGATGTAAAACATTTCCAAGTCGTCCTCGACGATGCCGATCTCCTCCTCCTGGTGCGCTTGATTGAAATTTTCGAGAATAATGGCAATGTACATGTTTATGACTATCATGTAGCTTATGATGATGAAGGAGGTGAAGTAGGTGATCGCCAGGAGCGGGGAGCCGCAGTCCCCGTTGATTTTGCGGCTCGTCGGCGTCGGATCGCAATCCGGGGGCTGGACCATCAGCGACTCGAGGACGTCGTTCCAGCCGGCCGAAGTCATCAGCCGGAACAGCAACTGCATGCTTCGACCGAAAGTCTCGAAATTCACCTGCAGTACCGGGACGATGTTGTTAAACAATTTTACATAGTGTGGATATGTTACTCTATTCGATGGATTACCATATCGTCGAGGGCGCCTTGCTTCCTCACGTGACCAAACACCGACATGCCGATTATGGCGTAGATAAACGTGATAAGAGCGAGGAGTGCCCCGATGTTAAACAAGGCAGGCAAGCTCACAACGAGAGCAAAGAGCAGCTTTCTTATTCCTGAAGAATAATAAGTAACATTGGTAAATAAATGTATATACACATATAAATAAAAAAAAAAAAAAAAAAGAACATACCTTTGGCGGCTTTTATTAGTCTGAGTATCCTTCCTATGCGAAAGACCCTGACGACTCTCAGAAGGGTCGGTGAGACCGGGAAGTCGATCATAATGTCCTCCATGACTATACCTAGGATCGAGGCGAGCACGAGCACAAAGTCGAATAGATTCCACGGTACGGTGAAGTAGTGGTAACGCAGCCCTATGATCTTGACGATGGCCTCGAGGCCAAACACCGTCGTAAAGAAGGCGTTCGACACCTCGAGGATGAAAAAGACGACGTGCGGCTGGCCGTAGTGCTCGATTCCCATCGTCACCATGTTCAGGAATATTAGGATGAAGATTACTATTTCGAACCTGGAATTATTTTGAAATTGAAAGCAAAATAAAAAAAAGAAAAAAAAAATAGCGTATGAATAAATCATCCGAGGTATAGTAATGGTAGTTTTTGGATAAGTACCTCCTCGAGTTGGACAGGTCGTAAAACATAGCGAGAACCTGGTTCATCGGACGTTTTATCACTTTTTGCGGCTTCTTCCGCCCTAACTTTTTCATGGCCGTGTAGTAGTGCTTCTGGCTCTCGGTCAGAAACATTTCTAGCACGCCACCCTCGTACTGAAATAATATGAAGAAAAAAAAGCTCGTAAATATGAGACGATGCGAGAGGGCTATGAGTTAATGATGCAAAAACTTACTTTTTTCTTAAGCATGTTGAAGTTGTCGATGATAACTCCGATGAACAGATTCAAGGTAAAGAAGGACCCGCAGACGATGAAAATGACAAAGTAGATGTAAGCGGGAAGGTTGACTTCGCGTTGCGGTTGAAGGTCAACTCCGCGAGCATCGACGGCGTCTGCCATGACTTCCATCCACCCCTTGAAACGATACAATTATTCCATCATAAAACGCACAAAGTCACCAATTGACGCAATATAATAATGACATACCTCGAAGGTTGCGACTTGAAACAACGCCAAGTAGGCAACACCCACGTGATCGAACGTTATTTTGCTGTTCTCCCAGGTGTAATTAAGCCTGTAGCAATCTTCCTTCGTGTCTACCACCTGCGTTTTTATTTTATAAGTATATGTACAAAAATTGCGGTGTCGCCAATTGGGAGGCTTTTACTCGAAACAGCCGTAAAATGGAATTATTTAAGATTAATAAATAATCTTTTGTAGCTCACTTTCAGCAGGCCGTGTTTCATGAATAATTTTAAAACAAGGCTCTTTCGAGGAATCGTAAAGTTGGCTTGGTTGTGCGTGTATATTTTTAAAAGTGACTTACGGATACATCCAACATAACGCCGTCCTCGTCGAGGCATTTGAAAAATTTGCCGCCAAAAAACTGGACACCCATTATGGAAAAAATGAGCCAGAAGACTAGACAGACCAACAGGACGTTGAAGATCGAGGGAATGGCTTTGAGTAATGCTCCGACGACTATTCTCATGCCTTGCCACCGCGAAATCGCTCTCAGTGGCCTGGTATCAAGGTTATCATTGTCTCAATTATTTGCCATCAAATAAAAAAAAAACATTTCAACGCGGTAATCAAAGGTTAAAATACCTCAATGCTCTGAGCGTCCTAAGGCTTCTTAATACTTTGAGATTTTCGTTTTCCTCTATCAAGAGACTAAATAAAGATACCTGCGAATTGAAATTCGCACGTTAGTATTTTTTATTTCGATAAAAAAGCTACTATAGGCTACGCCTTCATGCCATCACCTCGATTGATATAAAAATACTACTATTACTTTCGATAAAATGTATTTATATTTTCTCTTTGTGCAAAAATTTATTTTGGCATAACCAAAGGCTAATTCATGTATATGTATGTACTTATTGTAAAGAGGATAGCTGGCTCTACGGTACCAATAAAATACTTCCTAATTTTACTAATCTGCCAAAATATATGTACATAAGATAACTGCAAAACATGCTTTTAAACGACGGTGATTTTATCCTTACAGAAAAATTTACAATTGTCTACTCTTTATATAATCACGAAAGATTGAAAATGACAAGACAAAAAGTACTGTAAGTAATGATTACAAAATGCTTCAAGATTTTAAAACACTAAACAAATATATTTATAGAAAAAGAAAGAAAGAAAAAAACAATGAATTCGTTCCATGTATCGTCGATTTCATAAGATGCACCTTCGTGATTTTACATAGAGTAAGAAATCCTATTGCGACAACCAAATTTAATTGTCGACATTTCTCGAAAAGCGTCACGTTAACGTGTGATTTGCTTAAAAAAATACTGCCGATGGGAAAAATGCCAACGATTAAACGGCTGTCGACAACAGGATTTCTCACCCCCGCTATCATGAAATGAAAATAGCCGTTACATGGTGTGTTGGGGCACTTTTTGGATTCATTGATGGGTACTAAAATTACAAGCAAGCAAGCGTTAGTAGCGGCACGCAAGAAAGCAATTTAACTATGTACATTTACAAAAAATCAATAAAATTTCAAAGGTGTTGAAAAAACTTGCTGATGCCAGTATCGTGCGAAGCTCAGTACTTAAATGCTCATTTTTATTCATTTCATATTGATTGAATACTTATGCTTACGACGATAGGGGGTGAGTTATTTCGACGTACCTGTTTAGCCCTCATAATATGTATATAATCATACACACATAGACAAACGACGATATAATACACGCAGAACGACGTCTCATTTGCTACATTCAAAAGTGCTACCTAGTACAGTTACATGTTACACACTCATTCGATGGCAATTCAAAACTATATGTTTTCTTGTCATTTAATTAGAAAAATAATGTCTATAAAAATAAGTATTGTTTAGTGTGATTGGAAAATAAACGAAAAGTTAATTTGAAAAAAAAAAATTAAATTTTTAGGTTTTTTGTAAAAGCTGCACAATTTTTGTAAAAAAAAAAAAAAGTCTGTGCATTTTGAAAAACCCGTACAAAAACTAAATTTTCAACTTAAAACACATTCCAATCATAATCATACAGTTTTTTTAGAAACCATGTTTTTTCGACTTACGCGATCATCTTGTCCGTTTTAACGTTATAAAGTGTTTTTTATTATCCAACGTAAAAAGCTACAGGTGTAGGTCTACTAGATTTTTTCGAAACAATAGTTGTGTGAAAACATCAAAAGAAATATAGTAATGCTGCGTATAGAAGTAGGTATTATATAGAAGTATTAGGTACTTGGTGTTTAACAAAACTAAACTGAACAGAGTCGGTGTTTTGCTTCAAAAAAGTAAAAAACCAAAAAAACCGAAAAAAAAAAAGAAAAAACGACACACCCACACACATACCGACACATATTATGGTATACAACATTGTTCAAAGTCACATGTAGGTACATATA